TGGTTGTTTTCCTAACAACCTAGGCAGCTGAGTTTGCCCTCTCCAAGGTTTTGTGATGATTTTGTCTCCACAGTCCACGATGCTGCTTCGACGGTTGTTTTTGATATTTTGGTGCCGCTGAGGGCTGGATAACGCAGGGATCCGTCTAGGGGATGTGCAGCTATTCACAAGTTCTTGTGTCCCAACTTTCCATTGCGTAGTTGGCGCCCAATGGGGAATTTCTGATTCCTTGGGGTGCAGACACTAAGATGCTCTTTCTGAGATGAGCGGTGCCTTATGTTTGGCTGACGTCCTTTTGACGTTGGTGGAGTATCCCGGTTATCCTTATTCGGGTGACTCTTTTTTGATTTTTTCTGATTTTGTCGCCTCTGTGTAGGCTGTCATCCGCTAGGGGATTCTGTCGTGTTGGTCTTGGTTTGCCTCTTCTGTTAGGCAGATTATCTTGATGTCCAAGGTCTGGCTGAATGCCGAATTCCACTTGGGGAATGATTATTGATTCTTTTTTGGATTTTTCTTTTTGAAAGAATGCCTCTGAGTAGGCAGATGGTGATCGGGGATCTTATGTATCCCAGAGTATTATTTAGGAAGCCTCTTCAGGCTTAGCTTCACTCATCACTTGAGTTGGAAGGCTATTTTCCACTGAGGAAGTTTGAGTTCTCAGACTCTGATATTCTGTTTGAATGATCACGCTTCCATTGGGGAGTCTTGCGGATCTTGCTTTGATAGCTCTTACTGGGGATTTAGTCCAAGAGTGAGAGCTTGAAAATTCTCTGGGGAGTATTATTTCGGCAAGCCTCTCCAGGCTCAATTATTCTGTATTTGTTGGATTTTCTGAATTTTGCCTTTTTTGTTGAATTCGGCTTTTTCTGTTTTTGCCTTTTTTGTTTGCTGCTGTCATACACAAGCAATTTTTCTATTTCTCTATTTTTATGCAACTGCCTCATGATAAGGTCTTTGAATGTGCAACTAATGTATGTGTGATGCACAAAAATGCGAATTCAATTATTTTGTTAATGTTTTTAGAAAAGCGAATGGCTCTCCCTGTCCCCCTTTTCTTGGAGGAACTTCTGTCATTGACGTGAGGGAAGAATTCTCGTGAGCTTTTTACGCAGGAGATTATAGATTTTATAGGAACCCCTCCAACTTTCTTTATTGACCGATTATTAAAGGAATTTCATACAGTTTTTAAGAAATACCAATTTAAAAGCATAATCACATGGTCAAGAGAGAAAAGAAATGAATAGACATTTTATTGATATTCACAAATGTTTTTACAGAAAGATATGCAGAGGGAATTTCTGAAGAATGGCTGGCTAGGGTAGGCTATATACATTAGGCTTAACAATTATATCTGTAATTGTTGCTCCTACGTTCCCCTAATTGCTTCGGATGAGATGCCTGAGCCAGGAGTGTAGATGCTGCAAGACGCCTGCTTCTAGAAGAGAATCACTTGAACCGCCTTTCGGTTTTCGTTTCAAGTGATCGTTGCTTGCTTTGTTTTTATATCTTATTCTTTTGCCCCCTAATTTTTGCCTAGGACGTATCCTAGCGGGGATAGATTTGCCTTTGTTTTGCCTAGTACCCTTGTACTGGCGGGCTTTTTATTTTGCCCTAACTTTTGCCTAGGACGCCCTTTTCGGGTTTTCATCCTAGCGGGCCTATACAAGCAACGTCTTCAAGCATAGTACTTCTTTACCACGTCAGCGTTGACTGGGTATCGAAGTTCTTCTCCATCCATGTCCGTGAGGATCAATGCTCCTCCTGAGAAGGCTCGCTTTACCACGTATGGTCCTTCGTAATTCGGGGCCCACTTTCCGATTTTGTCCTTTTGAGCTGGTAGCAATTTCTTCATCACCAGCTCTCCCTCATGGTAGATTCGAGGATGGACTTTCTTGTCAAAAGCCTTTTTGATCTTCCTTTGGTAGGCTTGACCATGGCATATGGCGTTCAGTCGTTTTTCTTCGATAAGGTTCAATTGGTCGTGTCGACTTTGAACCCATTCTGCCTCGGAAAGTTTTGCTTCCATGATTACTCTCAGAGAAGGTATCTCGACTTCAACCGGCAGAACTGCCTCCATTCCATAAACAAGGGAGAATGGAGTAGCTCCTGTGGATGTACGTACTGAAGTCCTATAACCATGGAGAGCGAAGGGTAGCATCTCATGCCAGTCTTTGAATGAGACAACCATCTTTTGTACTATCTTCTTGATATTCTTATTGGCTGCCTCGACTGCCCCATTCATCTTTGGTCGATATGGGGAAGAGTTATGGTGCTGAATTTTGAACTCTTTGCACAGTTCTTCCACCATCTTATTGTTCAAATTGGATCCATTATCAGTGATGATTTTGTCGGGAATACCGTATCTGCATATGATATTCTTTCTGATGAAGGATGTTACCACCTTTCGGGTCACATGAGCATACGATGCCGCTTCTACCCATTTGGTGAAATAGTCAATGGCCACAAGGATGAACCTATGTCCATTGGATGCCTTTGGCTCGATGGGTCCAATAACATCCATGCCCCACATTGCGAATGGCCAAGGTGAAGCCAATACGTTAAGTGGGGTTGGTGGAACATGAATGTTGTCGGCGTATGCTTGACATTTATGGCATTTTTGCACGTACTGGTAACAGTCCTTTTCCATGGTCGACCAATGGTATCCCGCCCTGAGGATCTGATGTCATGGAACCATCATGGATTTCTTTTGTTTTTTTATTGTCCTTATTTTTGCTAAAAACACCCCTTTGTGGTGTCTTAGCGGACCCTTGTTTTTGTTCATTTTTTACAACCCTAACTTTTGCCTAGGTTACCCTTTCGTGGGATTCCTAGCGGGTTCTTTGCTCTTATTTTTGCGCAGCCCCCTTTTTGGGTTTCCTACCGAGCCTTTTTTTTTTTGTTTCTTTTTTTTTTATCCATGATGGCACTTGTCGAGGCCGGGCATATCATGATACGACCATGCAAATACGTCTTTATATTCCTTTAACAATTGGATGAATTACACCCGTATTTCATCACTGATATGGGTCCCGATGTTGACCTCCTTTATAGCTTGGCCCTGCCCCAAATTACGGTCTCCAATTTCTCTTGATACGGTTGGAGTAGGCGAGCTTCTTGATCTAGCAGTCTTTGCAGATCCGGAGAAATGGTCTCCTCATCACTGTCCAACTCAACCCATCCATCCTCAGCTTTCAGATCCCGGTCGGAGCGAACAATCACAGACATAATTATTTTATTGGTTCTGTTTATGGTTTAGAATTATTAATGTTAATGAGAGAAAGAGAGAAAAGAACAAAAGAGAGAATAATGTGTGAAAAATGCCTCTTTATTGATATGTATTAGAAACTGTACAAAACCCTTATTTACATGAAAAGGTTCTCATGATCTCGGGTACTGATCATGAGTCCCTAAAAAGAAAAATGTGGAGGGGCCCTATCGTGGCTTGCCCTTCTCTCTACTCCTGCTTCGGTAGAGGATTCTTGCTCACGTCGGGCGCTGTCGAATCAAAGGTGATCCACCCAACATCGATAAGGTCTTGGACCTTATATTTGAGAGCTTTACAGTTCTCCGTTGAATGTCCTGGTCCCCCCGAATGGTATAGACATTTATCTTGTGGTTTGTACCAATCGGGGTAAGGTGGGTCAAACTTCCTTGGTGGAACGTAAGCTAGAAGATGAGCTTCCACTAGCTTCGGCAGGAGGTCGCTATAGGTGGTCGGAAGTTTGTCAAGCTTCCTCACAGGGTTATACTACGACTTTCCTGACTTTGAAGTGGAAGAAGATGAAGAAATGGTTATGGCATTGACTCCTCCTTCCTTCTTCTTCCCGAAGGGCTTCCTAGCTTCAAATGGTTGGGAAGGCTTAGCTAGCTTCCCACTTTTCAGCCCTTGTTCCACCCTTTCTCCAATGGTGATGATGTCCGAGAAGAGTGTTGTCGTGTTCCCTATCATCTTGTCGTAATAGGGACCGGTCAACGAGTTTAGGAACAAGGACATCGTCTCCTTATCTGACAGCGGGGGCTCTATTTGTGCCGCCAATTCCCTCCATCGTTGGGCGTACGCCTTGAAGGATTCATCATCCTTTTTGCTCAAGGCTTGAAGATCGGACCTATCGGGTGTTAGGTCGATGTTATATTTGTAGCGCTTGAGAAAGGCGTCGACCAACTGCCTCCACGTACACACCTGATTCCCATCCAGTTGCATATACCAGTTGAGTGCGGTATCAGCTAAGCTCTCTTGGAAGCAGTGGATCAAGAGCTTTTCATTTGTGGCATATGCAGCCATCTTTCGGCAATACATGGAGGGATGACTTTTAGGGCAAGTCGATCCCACATACTTTGGGAAATCGGGCACTTTAAACTTGGGAGGGAATTGGATGTCCCTCACTAGACACATATCAGCAGCATCTTTGATATCGAAGTCATGCCCCTCCATAGCCCTCAGCCGATCCTCGAGAGCGTGGAATTGTTCCTTTAACACCTCGGGCTCTTTGATTGTAATCCCCACCCCAAGGGGTACACCTAGCGGAGGATCTTGCTCTTGCTCCTCTTCATGATGGGACTCATGGTCACTGTGGTGAGACCCATGTACATTATGATGACGCATGAGTTCCATCATTTGCGCCATCTGCTCTTTGAGCTGTGAGAGCTCGGCTGTGAGCTTCTTGTTTTGTTCCTCCAATGCTTCCATCTTCTTGATTTTCCGTGCACGCGTGAGGACAGAGAGATGACCAGCCACTTTTCTAAAAATGAATGTTTTAATCTAATTTAGTTTACTTATGGAATGAATACACCCTTGACGTGAGCTTGATAACCCCCCATCTTTAAGGCGCTGCCTTTTTAAGACGAAGGTTTATCACCCTTTTTGAATTATGATCTCTCCCTAACGGAGAATCTCTATAATCATGGGTCTCTTTCACTCACGTCAAAAGGGTATTGGTGAGCCTAAAATGAATGATTTATGAGGATGCATGATGTCTTATTAGTAATGATGTACATGCTTATCTTGCTAAAATGTATCATCAGAAAGAGGCTTCCTTCTTTTCCCACGAATTTCTGTCACTGGCTTTTTGGTTTCTCAATCTTCACATAAGGTAATGCTCCCATTAAATGAAGAACTTTTGGCGACCACCCCCGCTGTTGAGCCCGGCAAAACATCAAGAATGTGTTGGCAAAGTAGGAATTGAAACCCATGAAGACATGCCACAAAGCATGACCCTGAGGGTTAATAGGCCAACGGGATATCTCCTTGCAGAAAATACGGTCACAGAACCCAAACAAACTGCCAAATAAAAAAGTAACTAGAAATAGCTTTGCAAGCCGCTTGGCAGAAACATCTTTAGTGTAAATGTAATACTTGTACATTCTCGGAACGCAGAGGAGAATGAGAATGATATAATGCACTTTGAAGCCAATACCAAAATGAAACACTGAATGGGCAATGGCAAAAGCAGCACCATACACGAAGAGGAAGATGGGCATTGTACTGCGGTAATGCCAATCTGGAGAGTAGAGGATGTACATGTACAGCAGCACCTCCCATACCATAGGAGTTTCATCACTTTGCTGTTGCCTAAATTAAAGCATAACATCTGAACAATAAATAGTCATCCAAAACAAACATACATTGAATTATTGACAAACAAATTAAATAACAAAACAACCCATTTTTACAAGGGACAAAAACTCAGTACTTGAACAGAAAAAAAAAAAACGTTACCAAAGATCAATTCCTAGGGAACAATCAGGCACTTATCAGCAAAAGCAACTGGTCCTGGAATTATTAACCTTCTAGTCTTATTTAAATGTGAAGTTAGCCCCTAATTTAATAAAACTCGTATCACAATAATCCTTCTTATATCTCACTTAAGTCCTTGAGAGTGACTAACTTGACATTAGTTATGTGAATTTAGGAATTAACTCATACATAATTAAATGAAAAAGACTAAACTGCAACTGAAAGTTCGTTATTTACACTTTTACATCAGTGAACACAATGATATTATAATGAGTACACTCAATTAAATTACAATTAAATGGGGGATTGATTACCCAACTTAGATCCCTTTATAAACCTTTTATAGTTTTTGTATCTAAGCCAAATGAAGAAACAACTGCATGGGGTGTTGATAACCCAACATAACTCCTGTTATAAACCCTACCCTTATTGTACCTAAATCAAATTAAGAAACTAATTATTCAATCTAAGTGTCCCTTAAGTGAACACGTTATGTATATAGAAAACTCACAATCTCAATGACGGCAACTAGCTTATTAGTACCAAAATGGTTCAACATTCAACATAATCATCAATTATTTTATAAGACAGCTTCATATTCAGTATTCAAATACCACACTGGAATCTATATCCTTTATCCAAGCAACGAAAAGGATATAAAATCTCATCCACATGCAACCATACAAATAAGTGGGAAAAATAGAGATAAAATCATAATAAGAAAAAACTGTCCACTTAATTTAAATACATTAGTGGCTTGTTAAAATAACTAGGTATAGCATGCTTGGAAATGATTATTCTTTCTGAGGAAATAATTATTTTTTCCTAGAACTCTCTAGTTAATCGTTAATTAAAAAACCTTTGTTGACTCCAAAATAAACTAATCCAAACATTTGTGGCTTGTTATAATAACTAGATACAGCATGCTGAAGTATTTTCGTTCTGTTAGAAATTGTTTAATCATGTTCACCCTCTCCTGTGTCTTTGTATCCCATTTTCTATGTTATCTCTTTCCATGCTTAAATTGGACGGCCACAAAATCTTCAAGGATGGTATTGGCATGCTAATAATATTTGTTATGTTATACATTTCTTTAAGATTAATTAATAAAAATAAAAAGAGATAGATTGACCTGTTGAGTGTTCCAATAATGTCAAATAGCTGCCATGACAGCATCACCCACCACGGTATGGACAAAATTGAGCAAACCACCACCATACATGAATGGCGTTGCAGAATCTGGCGTTGCAGAATCTGGCGTCATGTAGTTATGAGGATCCAAGGTAAAAAAGGCAGATTGGGCACTTTTTTAACGGCACTTTTGTTGCATTTTTTAAGAGGGGTTATATGAAAATCACTATAATGTGCAACCACTATCACACTAACAACCTCAACAAACAGAATGAACTCATTCATCTCTAGCAAGTGTGTGAGCTGTCCCACCCATTCCCACTGAATGATCCATCTGTAAATCTGAACAGATCCCATTCTCCATCTGCATGTTCTCTCCTCCCCCACTGTGGTATTATACTTGAGATGGATGTCATCAATCCAGTGATCCTTCCCTTCCTTTAGAAGATGTGTTAACCCTCCTATTGACCACTATATCTCCATGTTTCCACTAGATTATTCTAAAATCATTTGGGACAAGAGAGAAAAGAAAGAAAGGATATTTTTTTGTTCAAAGGTTTGTGTTTTAGAAGGGATTTATTTTAAAAATGGATTTTGTAAGAATGGTTGGCCAAGGTAAGCTTATGTGTTTAGGCTTGCTTGATTAAACACTTATGAAGTTAAGAAAGTCTTGTTCATTAATGTTGTGATCCGACAACTTGGATAGCTCCCCTTGAACCTTTCTTTTGAATTTGGCTCATGGCACCATCGTGGATTTCTTTTGCTTTTGATTTGTCCTTATTTTTGCCTAAAACACCCTTCTGTGGTGTCTTAGCGGACCTTTGTTTTTGTTTGCTTTTATAACCCTAATTTTTGCCTAGGTCATCCCTTCGTGGGATTCCTAGCGGGTTCTTTGCTCTTATTTTTGCGCAGTCCCCTTTTTGGGTTTCCTGCCGAGCTTTTGTTTTTAGGATGGCACTTTTCGAGGCCAAGGAAAGGTGCTCCAAGCTGTCATGCACACTTCCACATAAAAATGATGCGGGTTTATTGTTATTAAGACGATTTTAACCTCATTCATGTTTATTCAAACAGGGTTAAATGATAAGGTCTAGAGATTTATTGAAAGCAAGAAGAGAAGCAATAAGAAATAATAATGAATGATTTTATTATAATTCTTAATGGAAACATGTGCCCTATCGAGGCTCGGGGGTCGGGCTGTCCCCGAGGAGTGATCTCTAATAGTCATCAGGTCTATGCATCCCTATCGGAAGGAGGAGAACACTTGATGACGACAACCGGCCTTGACGCTTGTGAGTAGGCCTTCCTAAAGATCTGGCTTAAAGAACGTCGAGAAGGATCTTGGTTCCTCTTCGTTCTTTGATCTTTGTTAGGGTCGTATCCTAACCCTTGTTTCCCCGTATTTTCCTTGATGATGGGTAGCTCGGGAACTCCTTGGGAATCCTTGCCAAGTCCTTGTCCAGGCAAGTATCCGTGCTTCGCGAGCATGTAGGCTACCTTCTTTGTTTCTTGGGGAAGCATTTCGACATTGGCAATTTCCAATGCTTGGAAGGCGACTTCTAAAGCTTCCTCTGCTGCATCCACGTAAGGTATGGCAGATGGCTTGCTGATGAGTATGTCATCCTCAGCTTGTACGGTCACCAGCTTGTCACCAACTATGAATTTGACTTTCTGGTGGAGCGTAGAGGGAACAGCTTTCGCATCATGAATCCAAGGTCGGCCGAGGAGACAGCTGTATGCAGGAGTAATGTCCATTACTTGGAATTCGACATTAAAGATAGTGGGTCCAATTTGGACTGGAAGAGTAATTTCTCCCACCACTTCTCTTTTAGACCCATCGAAGGCTCGAACGATCATGTTGCTCGGGCGCATTTGGACTTCTTTGATTGCCACTTGATCTAGCGTCCTTTTTGGCATCACGTTCAAGGAAAACCCATTATCTACCAAGACTTTGGCGATGTGATACTCCTTGCACTTTACAGAGATATGCAAGGGCTTGTTGTGGTTCGATCCCTCAGCGGGGATTTCTTCATCGGTAAAAGTGAGGTGATCATTAGCCGTGATGTGACTAACAATCCCCTCAAATTTGTCTTGGGAGATAGTGTGCGACACATATGCCTCGTTCAAGACTTTCAACAGAGCTTGCCGATGCGGTTCGGAGCTTAGGATCAACGACAACAGAGTGATCTTTGCTGGCGTCCTATGAAGTTGATCCACAATGGAGTACTCACTCTGTCGGATAAACTTTAACAACTCATCAGTCTCCTCCTCGGATTTCTTATTCTCCTTGGTTTTATTGCTTCCTTTTTCTTTTCCTTTATCCTTGGGAGCTTTGTCATGGAGATCTTCGGGAGTGCAGATCCTACCACTCCTAGTCATGCCCCCAAGTCCAGCGATGTTAGAGATATCGCTGTCGGTAGAAGAATGGATGTCGTATATCCATGGCACAGCCTTATTCGATTCATAGGGAAAAGGTCTTGGAACCGTTATCTTCAACGGCGTTGGGCCTTCCCCTTTATTTGTCTTGATTACCAACAATGGAGTTGACGTGTGTTTGCTTGGTGCGATTGTTGGCTTACTCTTGATAACGAATGGCGTGCGATCCATTCTGAACAAACGCATCGATTAATTCTTTCTTTTTATTAATGTTATTAATAAATTACTTGGAGAGATATATGCAAATGAATGATTATGAAATGCAAAGGCAATTGAAGAATTTCATAGATCTCAAAATTTGATTTTATTGATCATAAAAAGTGTACAACTTATTATACAATGCTTTGAAGCAATTTTTTACAAAATGAGAAAAGCCGGTAGAAACCCACAGGCGGGTTCATGTTTCTTCTCCATTCGTCTTCGGCTTCCTCAACGTGGCGTGTCATTGCTTTGACTTGCGTATGGACAACTTGGCTCATATCATCACTGATCTTTTGAGCATCCTTCGCTTTTTGAATGTGATGGTTGATCATGGCCTGCAGCTCGTTAAGTTCATCCTCGGCTCGATCTTTCTCCTTCCCTTTCCTTTTTGCGAAAGTCAGAAAGGCTTGCGGTTTGTTGTTGAGCAACTTCCCGCCATTGTTGCGCATCGGATCGAGTCAATAGCAGATCATCTTGCATGTCTTTGATCAACTGTGCCTGCCTTGCATATTCGGCTTCAAGGCGTGCTATCTTTGCGTTGACATCTTGGAGTTGACTACTCGGTTCAACCTTTGGCATTTTGGATGCCCGAGTAGCCTCCTCATTGAGATTAGCACACTCATCCTTGAGCCGCTCTATTTCGTGATCTTTCTTCTTGCATTGCCTTTGTAGACCATCAATGACGAGACTGGATTCTTCATTCTTTTCCTCAAGAACCCTCATTTGAGCTCCCATGATTTCCAGCTTCTTGGTCAAGGCGTCGACTTGTTCTTGCATTAACCTCCTTGTAATTGCAGTTGTGCAAGGGGTGGATGGTTGGGACACCCCCCTTTTGCTCCTCCATATCTCGTAGTCGGTGGAGACTGATACCCGAGGCTTTCCAAGCTCTCAATCTCCCTCATAGATTGGTCTCTCCCACGCTCTAATGACAGCGTGCATGTCCCTCTGATGCTCAGAATCAAAGAAGAAACACAACCCTCTAAGCTCTTCCTTGGTAGGAACAATCTGAGTCCTCATTAGTTGTCTCATAGCCAATCTAGGTGAGTAAGCTATGCAACCTCTAAGGCCCATCAATGGTATGCTTGGGTAATTGCCGCATCTTATCAATATATTGCTGGGACGGAACCAAGGGCAAACCCATGTGAAGTGCTCAATGCTCCACTGTTCCATCTCTTCCTTCCACTCGGAAGCATATCGGCGGCATACGGGGATCTTTGAAAAACTCCTCAATGGATCGGGCAAGGTTCCCATGTGACTAGAGGCATAGAAGTGTGTGATGCCCCACACATATAACAAGGAGGTGCAACATCGTATAGTCTTTCCTTGCTTCTGTTGAGATAGGTTGATAGAGAGCAAGGTGTCGGCAAGAATGGCAGGCACGGGACTCTTCATGTGTACATCCCAAGCGAAGAAAGCGTCCATAGCAGCATGGTCTACTGTGTTAGCATGAAAGGGGAATAGGATCGTCCCAAACACGGCTAACGCTAGAGTCTTGTTGAAAGCTACCCAATCTCCCTCACCAGCTAAGGAAGAAAGGTGGTCCTCAATCATAGCGAGCTTCCAACCCTTGATACTGTCGTTCCCCACTAAAACGGATGATCGTGATGGCAGCTTGACTTGAGTGGCGACTCTCTCCACGGCCACATAACTACCATGAAAGACATAGACCCCTGCTGATTTGGGCCATCGAAGCATGAGCTCGTACTCCTCGAGAGTAGGAACTAAGTCTAACTGGGGGAACTCAAAACAATGTAGATCGACCCTCCAAAAGTGGACCAATGCTCTCAGAAAGGCTGGATCCACACATATCTTCATTAAGTCAAGGACTCGTCCATAGGATTTCTCAAACTCAACATGAGCTTCTCGTGGCATCAAAGAACAGAGGTGGTCCAACCTCTCGGCACGGTATAATAAGAAGTCCACTTTCTTCAATTGCCCTTGCATTCCCCTAGATCCCTCCATGATCTACAACAAGAATGCATGATATGAGACGATGATGTTGATTTTGCATGCATTGTGTTTATTCAACTAAGCATTATCATGTTTTAGGATTTTCCTAAGATGATGCATGATATTGCTTGGTTTGGGTAAATGATCTTCTCTCTTTTTTTTGTGGGAATTTCATTTTTTATTTTTTTTTGGGTGAAAAGGGAAACTACCTATATGAATGCGATGAAGGTAGATGTTAACATCATGTAATGGAAGACACTTATTCCTATTTATTCATTATTATTTTTGTTTAAAAAAATGTTGTATGTTTAAAGAATGCAATGTATGCTCAAACAATGTCACATAAACAAGGCACAAACAATTCACTCATCCACGAACAGTCACGAGCGAATCACGAGGTAGGGGTATCCTGCAGAAAAGTGCATATTCAAGGTGGTTCTAACTGTTCTCACCGGGTCAAAGGCCCCCAAGGTGCCCCCATTATAGGGACCCAATTCCTCTCGTCGTAAGTCGATGGAAATAACGGCGGCATACGGGGATCTTCGAAAAACTCCTCAATGGATCGGGAAAAGTCCCCATGTGACTAGAGGCATAGAAGTGTGTGATGCCCCACACATATAACAAGGAGGTGCAGCATCGGATAATCTTTCCTTGCTTCTGTTGAGATAGATTGACAGAAAGCAAGGTGTCGGCAAGAATGGCAGGCACGGGACTCTTCATATGTACGTCCCAAGCGAAGAAAGCGTCCATAGCGGCATGGTCCACTGTGTTAGCGTGAAAGGGCAATAGGATCGTCC